TAAGATCCTTTGCAAACATTGTCAAGGTCTTTTTATTGTATTCCCAAAGCCTTCAGACCAATTTTATGAATAAAAGCGCACAGAAAAGATCATATTTCGGATGGACGTAAATATACGTCTGAGATAATTACCACTTTGGCTGAGCGAGACATTTATATACGCCAATGGCACTTAAGAGGTTAATGTCATATTGTATATTTGGAGAGCTTCAAAGTTTATTATTGTTGACATTGTTATTGTATGGGGGGCGAGGTGAAAAAACTGATTGAACATTGGGTTGCAGATATTGAAAGTTTGAGAAGCACTGCTATAGCGGACCATCCTTTTTGAACACACGTGTAGCAAGGTCACGTGTTAAAGGAGAGATATGAACGGCGGACAGCAGGTACGGTTGGTCTATTATCCACTTGAAGAAGGAAAATAAAAGTTCTTTTCGCTTGAGGAACCGGAAAACACAAACAATGGGTAGCAGACAGATGGTCATCAAAGGGGCTACGTTTCAGGGGAGACACATAGACACAATACAATTCAAAACTTGCAAGATCCAACCTGTTTCCTACAGGACTGTACATGATAGTGAGTGTTTGAATTGTGTCAATAAAATAACTTGTTTTTATAAGACAACTTGGAATTATCTCTTCATGTAGTCTGGCCAGCCAAAGATTTTACTTAGAAATATTGAGTGTACCAAAAAGCAATGTTTTAGTTCGAAATATCAAGAATTTTTCTAGGGAATGTACTTCAAATTATCGAGAGGTTCGTACTATCGAAAGTTTGAATTATCGAGAATCGACAGTATGTATCTTGTTCAAATTTTCAACCGTTAATAAAATACTTTCTGTTCATCCATTCAAGTTTAAATACATTTTTTAAGACTTGTAGTGGATGACAATTGATGTTGCTACAGTTTTTTTCAAACATTAGTTCATTGATTTAAGTACAATTTCTCACCGTCAGAACTCAGATTCCTCTTTATGGGGTAGAAACTGGGCTTCAAAATAACTCGCGGCAATTGGTATCGCCTATATGGTGACGCACTAAACAAAGTGATACCAGCTCCTGTGTGTGTGTGTGGGGAATCTACTAGGTTCGCAAAGGTAAAAATACCAATCCATAACCCCTTTCGGGAAAAAAAATATTTTGAGCACTTTAAAATTGATTAGTGCATCGCGCTTGCACACCACAGGTGCGTGGTTTCAACCCCGGGCTGGGCAAGGTCGACTCAGCCTTTCATCCTTTCAGTGGGTTGATAAATGAGTACCAAGCTTGAGTGGGAACTTAACACTGGGGATTTTACATCAGGCTGACCTCATGACTAGAACATCACGGCTCAAGCTCATGTATACTGAGTTGGGCACAGTAGGCCTTGGCCCTCATGGGCTGTTGAACCACTAAGTTCAGTTAATTCATTAATTATATTAAAGATGAATAAATAGTAACAAACAAAAATAGTCCAACGCCATGTATAGATAAAAATCGTTCGTTGTGTTCCTGTAGTGCAATGGATAGCACTTGGGACTTCTAATCCAAAGGTCGTGGGCTGGGATGCCACCTGGGATGGCCTAATTCCAGAGAATGTGATTTCTTATAAATTTAATTTATGAATAAAAAATAACAATAAAATAGTCAAACACCATATATAGAAAGGAAAATAGAAAATTGGCAATCAAAATCGTTTCCTATTTTGTCACTTAATATTATGATTCTGTCATATGTATATACGTATTTATATTAATTGTAACTATTTAATAAAAAGTAACTAAAATAAAAATTTTCTTTGTTGACCTAAGGAATTGAGACTTAATTTTTTTTTATATTACTTGTCTAATGAAAGATACACTTGAACAATTTATTGGTTGAATGGTCGTGGGACATAGTTCCCGATAAAAATGGCACAAGGTTAAGGTCACTGACAATAGGTAAAAATTCTAAAAAGAAAAGACATTGCTATAACTAATGTCATAAAATAAATTTGACTAGGCTTCAAATGGCTCAACAGCTTAATGTTAAAGATCACAGACACCTGAACAGCATGTCATGAGTTCGAGCCTTGTACCTTTGAAGACCCACCGTCACCGTGTAGATGGAGCCAATGCACGTTAACATGTGAGCAATATATATATATATATATATATATATATATATATATATATATATATATATATAGGTATGTTTACAAATCTTAATTTATTATTTCTATTCTTTTCATACTTCTGCTATGTGCTACTTTTCAGCCATTGCTTTGCTTTGAATATGTATTTGGGTCCAGAATCTGGCAATAACTTATTTATTGTACTCAGATATAGCGCGGGCTCTGCGTTTCTGAATGCAATTTTAGGTAAGTTACCTTCTTCTCATAATGGATTTAGATTACCTATCCATTATTTTCAATAGATTTTTGCTCAGTATTATTAACAGAAAGGGAGAAGGTTGGCTGGCCACAAAACATGTTCAACCCCACTTTTATATAAAATATTTTTATATATAAGCTATCCTAAGTCAGCAATGTTGATAAAACTTAGCATCCATTCTTTTATATATTTTATATTTAACTCTATTACTTTAATATTTCATATTTCCTTTAAAATTCTGTTGTTTGGTTATCTTGCAATTTCAATTCTTTTCAGTTTTAATTATGTTTATTCAGCTCTCTCTTGTAGAGAAATTTTGATTATATATATATATATATATATATATATTTATATATATAAATTAATAATTAAAATAAAGAAGTATTTATTCTTACTTCTACTTACCAGAGAACATTTTTTCCCAGTAGTTAGGTTTCAGATTCTGAAAAAAATGTTGACCCAACATATTAACCAATCCAACTACTTACTATTTACAATCCGAACATTTGTAATAAATCCTGTAAACCCTGTAAATAAACTAAAAATTCTTTTCTTCCAGTACTTAAATCGCGCGTATTACTTAAAGTATGAAAAAATGTGAAGTATAGATCCTTTACAATTGAATTTGTTCCTCAGTGTAATATTTTTAATGTCGTTTCGTCGAAATTTCTTTTTATCTGAATCAAATGATCTTTTCTTAAAAAATATGTATTAACGAAATGAAAGAACTATCCCCCCCCCCACACAAAAATAATTGTGTTGATTAATAACAAAAACGAAAACTGCTAAAAAAGGATGTCTTGAAGAGAAGTAATTATATATTTGTAAAACCAAATATATATATATATATATATATTATAAATATTAAATTCTGAAATAAATATTAAATGTTCAGATGACTTAATTTCGATTTTCAAAATCCTTAATATAATCCTATTTTATACTTTAAAATGGAAAATACTGAAATTTTCCATTTGTCTCCTTTGAAGAAATTTTCATTCTATTCTCAAATAAAATAAATTCGTTTTTTTAATAAATGCCAAAGCAGCATATGTAATCGGTTTTGGTTTTCGTTATTCCTTTACCTTTTAAGTAAATGCGTAGTAACAAAGAAATTGAATCCATCTTTTAGATTACAAAATTAATGAAAATGCATTGCAGAGATTTCTAAATTAAATAAACTAAAAATGAGACCGGTAAGGTTTGATGTCTTTCTTTGATCTTTTATCCTCGTCATTTATGAATTTATATAAAGATAACATATTTCTAAATTCATATTATTTTGTCTATTGGGGTTTTAATGAATAGGGATGGGATTTTCAATCTATCTTTAAGATGCTTTTGATTGCAATTGAAAATTTTCATCGAATATTTAAATAAACATTTTACTTTATATACTTTTAACATAGATTATTATATTCAAAAGGGATTTTAATTCATTTTGTAACATTTTACTAAATCTGCTCAAGGGCTCATGGGGGACTGTTTTGAAACTCATGATCCATAGAGTATCTGGGTGGTCTGAACACGGTTTGCAATTAAGTTTTTCACTCCTCTAATCATGTATTTTATTATTCATGTAAGGAATAAGAAAAAAAAAGAGGATGTGAGATTATATTTATTCTTCGACATTTTAAGATTATTTTAGTGTTATTCAGATATTTTATTTTAGGATGTGCAAATGTGGATCCTCGAATAATTGTATACGTTTTTCAATTCCTACTATTAGTTCACAAAGGCGGACCTCGTAATTTTGAGCCTCCTTCAAGTGATGAGGATGAAACCTGAGCGAGCATTTCTTCTCAACCACACCACACGAACGAGAGGACTTTGAGTCTCTGACACATTTTACGTGCATCAGCCCCTACACATGGCAGATCTTCAATGGCACCGGGCTTGAATTCACGACACATTAGCCACGAGTTCGTGACCATAACTTCTGTGCCGCCACAAACTCACCTTTAAAAAATAAAAATAAATGCATGTTTTATCCCCGAATGGGCCGCATGTTCGTAATTGAGCCTTTACAGCAGTGCTTCTCAAACTTTCAATATTTGCGACCAATATTCAATCATAATTTTCATCGTGCCCACCTCCATACAATAACAATGTATTGAATTCAATAATAATATACTTCGACATTAAAGCTATAATACGACTTTAATCTCTTAAATGCTACCGACGTATATAAGATAGTGCGTTAATTTCTGAAATGTATAAATACGTGTTTCCGAAGTATGATATTTTCTGTGCACTACTATCCATACAATTATTTCGAAAAATTTGGAATTGAATAAAATGACGTGACATTGTTTGTGAAGGATTTACTTATTTCACAGGATTTGTTTATTTATTCCTTTTCTTTACACACACCCCTCAATACACCATATACGCGCGCTTACATGGAAAACGGTGGCATTGGAGAGTGAATCGCGTAACTTTTAATCGGCAGTTAGGGATTAATTATAAACCGTACATAAACTATCAAGATACATGCTAAATTTTGTATGTAATTTTATATACGACAAGCCCATGGAGTTACTGGTAATTATTAAACTTGCTCTTAAATTAGAATTTTTAAACTAGTTATCAAATACATTGTGCAGTACTGATACATTTATAGGTGTATTATATCATTGCAAATGTGTATTTTATTTTTTATTACGTCAGAATGTATTTTGTTTGTTTACTTTTAGAGATAAATAATTCTTTTAAATAATCTTTTGCCTTCGACTTTTCAATAGGCTCGTAACCCTTGTAGGGTTATCACTCCCCCAAAAGGGGGTGCGCCCCACAGTTTGAGAAACGCTGATTTACGGGCATGAAATGTAAAAGTCCTCGAATGTGAAAGTATTTCATATGGCACCATCTACCGGATGCGTTCGCTACCGAATTGCAACGCTTGAATTTATTTAAGCTCTCGTCAAATACTATATATTGCTTTGATTTTAATTGTGGCTAGAGTACCAGAGCGAAATCGGGATCTTTTACATGCCACATACTTGTATGACATGCGTGTCTAAGATTTTCGCATCCGGAAGATGTATCAATTCCAACAGGGATCGAATCCTCAACAAAATTCTAACGAAGCGGGGTACGCTTCTCTCACTCAACGACCCCACTAAACTTATTCTATGTGGTCCATTGGTTAGGATTCCTGACTTTCATCCAGGTGACCTCGTCTCGATCCCCGGCATGGAAAATATTATTTTACTATCGTGGCTGAGAATGGCTAGGCACTCGTGTGTGGGTTAGAAAAAATATTATGACAATCAATACATATTATGCAGTTTTCATTTTTACGTCACATCCCACAATACTACGAAAAATTAATTATCAATTAATTACTTGTTATATGTAAATGAAGTATTCTATTTTATACCTCCAGATATTCATGAAATAATATTGAAGCATGTGATTAAACACCTAACCTATTTGTGGTTATTTATCTATATAACATCTTTACACTAATTATTATTTCAGATTAAAATTCGAGCATCCGTGAAAAATACTCTAAATTTAATACTAAAAGAATTACTAGAATTTTTAATCCACTTATTATGTAGTGGAAGGTATTTTTAGAATAATAAACTGATTACATAGAAATAGTACACAAATAAACTAATCTTCATGAAGATAAAAATTTGTTTTTCGCCAAAAAAATACAATCCTTTTCCAAAATGTTTGCACTTCAATCTGCTCTTGGTATAATGTAACAAATTAATTTTAGAAGTCGCAAATAATTTTAATTATATGCTGTAATTATCATAGATATAAGAAGATATTATTTGCCAAGGGCTCAGTATTATTCAGTCTTATACAATTATTAATCGTGTGTAGAGTTCACTCATTTTAATTACATAATTAACTCCACAAAAAATTAATTGGAATTAAATTAAAAATATACATGATCCAATTTATTTGCGTAATTATTCTCATATTTTTATAAAGACTATTTAAAAATTCCAATTTTGTGTAGGTGTGTTGAGTGTTTTTTTTCTCTTTGGTCTGTTATTAAAATAGAAATTCGAGAAGTTTAATTAAAATATTTAATTAAATTTAATATCAAATTTTGTCTAGTTTTGTAAGAAAAATTTCAAATTTTAATAAAAAGACTTAACTTGAAACATATAATTTTACATATTTATTCGAAAATATTTTGTATAGAATGAGAAAAAAGAATTTGGAAGAATAAAAACGATGTAAAAATTAAAACGATTCACGTACACATACCAATAATCAAAATTATTTTATTATAAAACACGACAAGAATGAAGCCATATTAAGAAGAAATAGTATTAAGGTCTCGAGACAAAAAAAAATGGCGTCTCACAATAGCTTTAAAATTCAAATTAATATGATGCTACTTTTAACTTTTTCTAGGTGTAAGTTGAAAGAATACTTGTCAAGGCATAAGCGTTTACATTTTCTGAAAGTTTATTTTGATATTTTTAAGAAATTTAGCAGTAACTTTTACTTTCTATAAAATACTTTTGAAAATTATATTCATTACTGGTGAAAGCAGGCAAAAAAGAGAAGTTAAGAAAGAGCATTAGAACCATATTTCAATTAAACTTTCCCCCTTTATATGTAAGACGCAAACTGTACAGTACAATTATACTTGCGATACATATATTTACGACAAATATACCTTATATAATATGTATTAAAAGTACATATATTGTTGTAGTTTTTTACAAAAAGTCATAGTTTAGAACATACTTCACTATTTATAAAGAAATTTTTTATCTTGAATCAAAAGAATTCAAGAAGCACAAACAATATTATATTCTGTTTCTCTGTTATCAAAATCGTTTGCGCCAAAGCGTGTGAAGAAGAAAGCCAAACTAAAAAATGAAGAAAAAAAGAAAAGGGAGAAAATTGTGTGTGTGTTAAAATGTCTTGAGAGAAAAAAGGAATATTCACAGCTGTCTCTGGATAATTTGAAAACGTTCATTTAATTTTCAATTACATTTCTTTAGATTCTTGATATTCTAGAAATTAAGACATTACACATCAATTGATAGGTGACAAAATGTTCAAATTTTTATGAGAATTTTACTTTAATTCAATGACAACATTAAGAGAAATTTTTACTTATTTTAACATTTTAAAATAATAGTTCCTTATCAAGGAAAGCAAACATGTACGGCAGTACTTTAGGGTGGATCGTGTTTATACGGAGGGAAAAAATATTATTAATTGAAACCTATCGGCATGGAAAAGACGTTTTAGACATGGACACTAAAAGAACTACAGTTGAAACTAATTTTAAAAGTTAATATTACCATAAAAGAGTTAAATATTCTATAACAGTGGAAAAAACCTAATTTTCTCTAAATGTTTTTAGATTCAAAGCAAAATTATTTTTATACAATACAAGATACCAAAAGCAATGATTATTGATAAATGAGTGCTGAGCAGGGAAAAGTACAATGTTGCAACATTTCATAACTCCTGCTCTCTCTCTCTCCAAAACGTCCAGTCACTCCGATCCAAGTTTTTCCCTATCTACCGCTTCATCGTGTATTGTAACTTAGACAATACACAGGTTTTAAAAAAAATAATAAGAAAATGTACCTGATGTCTTTTTTTCCTTTGGAATTACTTAGTATGTGTCCTCTATTATCGCAATAAATACTAGGTATTAAAATATTTCTTTTTCCTTACAAAAATTACTTTGACTTTTTCCTCTAAAAATTTTTCAAATACCTAAATTTTATTCCCTTTGTGGAAGTGTTTAACATAAAAATTAATTGATCATTTACTTTTCCTTCATCTATACTAGCAGTTTTTAATCTGGTGTCCGGGGACCCTTAGAGGTCCACAGCGCCTTTCTAACTGGTCATTAAAAGTATCTCATTTAAGGTATTCGACTACTTGCGACAACTTTTTTTTGTTGAAAAATGGAGATATGGGGATTTTTTGGGGGGGGTGGGTGTATAGGTTTTTTTTGTAAATTTAAGAAAAATATGCTAAAATTAAAAAGATAAAAAAAAATTACTAAAATAGGAAAAAAATGGGTAAAAATTTACAAAAAAATAACATAAACCATGGCCCATGGTTTCCCCATTCTGTACCAAAAGTTTATGAACAAATTTTCAATTTTTCAATTCGGATGTGTTGCTATGTTGTTCATTTTTGAAATGACCTTCAGGATAACATATATTTTAATTTTTACAAAAACTAGAGCACTTTATCTTAGTTATTATATGAAATTGCTTAGAATAACAGTGATTATATTAACTTAAGGGGCTGTAATTTTTGTAATAAAAAAAGTGAGTGATAAATATGAAGGTTGAAACACTTCTACTATTATACAGAACTTACACAAAAAATTTCAGTTAATTAATTTCAAAACTTTTTTAGCCATCGCTGCTCCTGTTTGAATATTTTTTTTTTTTTAAAAAAGCTTGCATTTCGAGTAAAACGCGTTTTAAAATATGACATCTTTTTTAATGTAATGGCATCTGCTTTTCCTAAAACACTTGTCGTTTTTGTTCTAGTGAACAGAAAATAATAAACTTGGTATTCTTAAAAAGATAATAAGATGGTGTATAAAAAAATCATAAAAAGTGTCTATTTTTGATGAAATTCACAATTTTAGGGTAGTCTGATACCTTAATGTTAATGTTACCCTCTTTTGCACACTCTGAAAGGTATTGTGGAAAAATTAAAAGATATTCTGTCCTAGACTTGATCACTATATAGTCCTCAAGAAAAAACAAGAACATGAATTTATTTCAAGAATATTATTTCATTTAATTTTAAATCAGTATTTCATAATATTTTTAGTTATATGTTTACTGTTTTCTTGAAGGAAGCAAAGGAAGCATTTAAGTCTACATAAGTAGTAGAGGAAAGCTTAAAATTTTTGAGGAACCTTAAAATCACTCAGCCATGTGTTGGGAGTTAGAGAGATGTGTTCAAAACCTTGGGGTCCGCAATGACAAGCTGTTACATAAAGAAACGCCGCGGTGATTGAAAGTTTAAGAACCGCTGAAATGTACTGCGTTTCTCAAAATGTGGTGTGCGCCTAGTGGCGTAACGTACACCGCCGCATTGCGGGAGGGGGCCCAAGGACTCTAGGGGGCCCAAATCTTGACTGACGCTAAGTAAATGTTTGGGCTTGGGGCCCAAAAACTGAGTTTGCAGGGGGTCTGTAATATTCTCAGTTACGCCTCTGGGTGCTCCCCCTAGGGAGTCGTGATAACCTTACGTGGGGGACACGAGCATATTGAAAAGATGAAAACAAAAGATTATTTTTAAAAATTACGTATTTACTGGGAAAAAAGTAAACAAAATACATTTTGACATAATATAAAATAAAATACACACTCTGATATAACATACTTATAAATGTATCAGTACTTCAATTTTTTTTTTTATAATTAATTTCACAACTCTAAGTTAAGAACAAGTTTAATAATTACCAGTAACCTCATGGCTTGTCATACATAAATTAAAAAACAAAAATTAACACTATAATTTGTATGGTTTATAATTAATCCCCTTACTGCCGATTAAAAGTTACGCGGTTCGTTCCCCAAAGCAACCATTTTCCACCAAAGCGCGCGCATGTGATGTATTTGGGAAGGGGAAGAAAAGGAATATAATTAAGCAAATCTTCTGAAATAAGTAAATCCTTCGAAATGTTGTCAAGATCCTTTTATTGCTTTCCAAAGCTTTCGAAATAATTTTATGGACAGCAGTGCACAGAGAAAAAATCGTACTTCGTAAAGAAGTATATATACGTCTGGGTCAATGAACGCTTTGGCTGAGCCAGTCTTTTATATACTACGTCGTTGACACTTAAGATGTTAAAGTCATATTGTAGCTTTGCGTCAAAGTATAGAATAATCGAATTCAATGCAATGTTATTGTATGGAAAGAGGGGAGGGGGGTTGTAAATTACGATTGAAAATTCGGTTGCACATATTAAAAGTTTGAGAAGCACTGCTATACAGAGTACATCTTTTCCGCATTTGTAAAATTTGAGCCCACCTCCTTTCTATGCAGTTTTCAAATAATACATTAGCATAAATCAAAACGAAATATTCATAAACGAATATTCTATAACATGGCGACTACACGATTACTTAAATGCAATAAGTATTTCAAAATGTATTAAAATAAGTTTCGAATTCCCCAAACCTTTCAAAACGGACCTGTAAATGTCATCGAACACTTACTCTGCAAAAG